TAATAATAATATTATTATTATTATTATTACGTTAATTTGTTTGTTATTGGTGTTACCAGGTGTTGTTAACACCAACCAGATAGTTCAGCAGACAGACAGCAGAAAACATTAACACGCATGATATGATAACATTTTGTAATTTTTATCAATTCAATACGTATGTATATGCTGTAATATAATGTGTAGATAGTATGTATGTGTGTGTGTGTGTGTGTGTGTTGTGTGTGTTGAGTAAATACGTTTTTGCATACACTTACAAGCATTTATATCAGCCTAATATGTAGTTGGTATACAATATACACACGGTGTGTGTGTTTGTGTGTGTGTATGTGTGTGCGTCTGTCTATGTGTGTGTTTGTGCATTACACGCAAACACATGCAACAAAGCAACACTCTTACAAACACATACACAGACACGCATACATCAAAACAGATAAATCATTACATTCCATTGTTTCTGCAGATTCACATAAAGTTATCGGAAGTAGGAAGAGGTGGAGTCGGAAGGATGGGTGGAAAAATGGATGACAGAACATCAAAAGTTAGTAAATGTGATGATATATGAAGATGGTGGTGGAGCGAGATTATCCTATTATATCATTTTTAACCTGGACAATTATCATCGTCTTCATCTTCGTCACATTAAATGATGAGGATATCCTAAAGATGGATGAATGAATGGATGTGTATCAATCAACTCTGGCAAGCCTATCTCCGTATTTCATTACAACGTTTCATCATAACGAATTTCTATTATTATTAATATTAGTAGTAGCAGTAGTAGCAGTAGTAGTATTAGTGGTAGTAGTATTAGTAGAAGCAGCAGTAGTAGTATTAGTAGTAGTAGTAGTAGTAGTTTCAGTAATAGTAGTAGCAGCAGCAGTAGTAGTAGTAGTACTAATAGTAGTAGTAGTAGTTGTTGTAGTTTTAGTAGTAGTAGTTGTTGTTGTTGTTGTAGTTTCAGTAGTAGTAGTAATTGTAGTAGTAGTAGTTGTAGCTTCAGTAGTAGTAGTAGTTTCAGTAGTAGTAGTAATAGTAGTAGTAGAAGTAGTAGTAGTTGTAGTAGTAGTAATTGTAGTATCTGTAATGGTATATCGTAACCAACATTAAATCTATCAAAGAGCGAGAAAACACACGTTTAACCTTGGCGTTTGTTTCACTATTAGACGAGGTGCTAAAATCATCACTTGCTATTTTATTACTGAAAATGTATCGTATCGTATCGTAATGTAACGTAATGTATTTTAATGCATTTTAATGTATTGTTATGTATTGTAATGTATTGTAATGTATTGTGTTGTGTTGGGATGGGTTGTGTTGTGTTGTATTTTATTTTATTGTATCATATTGAATTAAATATTATTGTATTTAAAATATCGTAATTATTATTCGTATAATTATTTTTTTATATATAAATATACACCTATAATTAAGTTTCAGCTGAGGCACGCCTTTTAAGTAAGGCTCGCCATGATAGTGAATTTCGAATTAAAATCACGAATGATTCATAAATTAAAAGTACATCAGCTACAAATAAACTTCATTTTAAATTATTTTATTATTTCATAACAAATAAACCAAAAAAAAACTGAATAAAAGTTCGTCACCCACTGGAGAGAAATAAATTAATTCCTAATTAAACAGAATCACCACAGCCAACGTTAATGCATGTTTAGAACAGATCATTCAAAATTTGCAGAGTTAAGAATCTTTAAAATTAAAATCTTCTAATTCAGGGGTGGGCAAACGTTTTGCTTATAGGGCCGCATTCAGATCTGTTTTACCTTTAAAGGGCCGCACATGTACTTACACAGCAAATTTTTTCGACCCGGGAGAGATTTTTTTAAGATTTTTGGCTACTATTTTTGGGTCATAATGTCTGGCGACGACACTTTTTTGGCGAGCAAAGCCTTGCGGGCCGCATAAAATGGCTTGCCCGTTTCTGTTCTAATTCATTCTTTATTCACGGTTCAAAGAATGGATGGATGGCTGGATGGATGGATGGCTGGCTGGATGGATGGATGGCTGGCTGGATGGATGGATGGATGGATGAATGGATGGATGGATGGATGGCTGGATGGATGGATGGATGGATGGATGGATGGATGGATGGATGGATGGATGGATGGATGGATGGATGGATGGATGGATGGATGGATGGATGGATGGATGAATGGATGGATGAATGGATGAATTA